TTGAAGGGCAGTTTCGGGCCACTAGAAAAAAAGGATTTGGCGCGCCAGAGCCCGGAGCCACACAGGCCGCGCAACTCCGCCCACAGTCTCGCACAGAGCCCAGAGCCCACAGTCTAGCAAGTGCGAGGTTTTGGAGCGTCTGAAGCGTCCATGGAGCGTCTGAAGCGTGCAGAATCCAGAAGTATGGCAGAACCATTGGCAAGTGTCGAAGCGTTTGAGGGGTTTGAAGGGTAGTTTCGGGCCACAAGAAAAAAAAGGACTTGGCGCGCCAGAGCCCCGAGCCCACACGCCCACACGCCCACAGTCCCGCACAGAGCCCAGAGCTCACAGTCTAGCAAGTGCGAGGTTTTGGAGCAGCCCTTGACAAAAGCGAAGGTTCGACACCTTCGGTGGCCCCAGGCGCCGCCTCTGCCTTCGCCAGAGCAGGGGTCGGCGGATAAGGAATACACTGTAGTCATTGTCCTTGAATTCATAGCTTGATAGCTCGAATTGTCAACTGAAAGATCGGGAATCAACATAAGCTCAAAGGAAGAGAGCAGCAGCACCAACAGCAACAACAAATGTTGGAACTCTCTCTCTCTTTTGTTTGTTTTTTTGTACACATGCCAATGCTTTAATCGCTTGGCTTTGATACGAACAGTCCTTGCCTTTGCGGTGAAATGTTGCTTAACTTGAATGTTCTGACCTGTTGTGGATCCCGGTGGTGTTGAGAGCTTTGGGGGCGGGGGCAGATGGGTGCTTTGATGTTGCTTGATGCCTTTTGTGTGGGAAGCCAGCATATTTCCAACCGTTCTTATGTTTTTGTTATGCTTACATGGTGGAAAACGATTGTGATGGGTTGAGCCCCAGAGGTGGCTATTGCACACAATGTTCAGAGAATTGTGCCTTGGCTCGGTAGATGCACCGTGCAAACAGACAATTCTCTCAATTTTGAACGCCTGGTGTTCCAAAGTCAGGAAGACCACATGCTGAAGACATTTGTCTTAGCGGCTGAATTGGGGCAGATGTTCACACAGAGCAAATTTTGTCAACTCAGGCAAAACATGCGCCAATGCATCGATATGCCTGGAGTGCAAGAATCAACGCTATCTCACCATTGAGCCTTGATCGGGATGAGAAACGAGTGGGCCATCCCAATGATATGGCTTTGTTTGTCACGGGATGATCAGTACGCAGATCGGCCGCCCCCTCTACATTATAACGATTTCTTATTTCCTCAAAGTGGCGGGCCTCCGTCCTTTGGCGATCTAGAAGGGGACGCCGTTTTCTATTTTTCTTTGTTCCTAATAGATGGCCTCCAAAAATCTACTCCTCCCACTGTTCTGATTTGTTCTGACTGTTCTGTCTCTCTCTCTCTCTCTCCCCCTCCGTCTCCGCGGTCAGCTATATACCTTTTGCAAGCCGCGGGCCATCAAACCCTCTTTCCCTCTTTGCAATGCCTTGCATTGGAAACTTGTCACCAATGCCCTTCGTCTCATTTCTCGTTGGTGTGCAACATGAGCTTCGAGCATGGCTTGGTTGCCTCTCTTTGTATTCAACATCTTTTGTTATTCAACGTCTTTTGTTGGCTACTTGCTTGACCACCCTTCTGAACGAAGTCTGCAAAGTCGCCGCAAGCCTGCAAGCCCCGTGATGTACATCCAGACTCGCTAAGAGTCACAACCTCAAGGTCCGTCAACGCAGCCATCAAAGCGCACAGCGCAGCGCGTCCAGATGCCGTGCCGCAAAATGTGCGGGAGCCCTGCGGTGGGGAACGTGTTAGAGGAGGCGTGCAGCCGGGTTTGCCAGCTCGTATGTGGCGTTGGCATTCTGATCAGATACGACTGTCACAAACTTTCAATTTTTCCCACTTTAGTGGTGCTCCATGATTCGCCGCAAAAAGTTTGGTATTTTGCTGGTGCTGGTGGGCACATGGTCGCAGAAAACTGGTGTCGCAGAACACTTAGGTGGATGACCATTTTGCTAACTTTGCGTTGAACACATGCAAGGTTTTTTCTGAATTAGAGCATTTGTAAGTCCCTACAGCCCTACAGCTGTTTGTCCGAATTAAACCCAGCTAAAACATGCAAATGAGGGAAGACACTTGTTTTATGATGCTAGTGCGGACTCTGCAGATTTGTGACGGCTTGCGTAGTGGTGTTTGCCAGCATAGTTTGGTTGCCAACAAGTTGAATTGGAACATCTTCCCAATTTCACAATGTCAGCGAGACGTTCATTTCCTTTATGATACCCTGTAATTAAAGCCGTTGATTGTGACTATGGAATTATATATTCAATGAATCCAGCCCCGAGCGGAGGATTCCTGTGGACCTTTGCTTTGGAATGGCCAGATGTGGTCACAAATAGTCAATATATATATATATATACAGACAGTCTACATAATATCTTAGATAATAACAAAAAGCTGATGTGGATGTAAACCATATTAACCTGCTGGTGCTTTTAGTGACTTTTGATAGGTTGGTGGTGCAGAAGATGCAAGGTGAATGGGTTAGTGCTTACATATGTGTATTGAATGTTTGGGTGACATTCTATTCAGACTTACATGTTCACAGTTTAACATTGTGGGTTCAACTGCTGATCTCACAAAGTACTTGAGAACAAATAGAGCCAACAGCTAGTTGAGTTTGATTTGTATCATGCTTTTGGTCGTGGAGCTTTGCAGGGCATTATACTGTAAGTCAAACGCATTGTTGCTGCACAGTGCTAGGTTGGCCCGCTCATCTGGTAGCATTTCAATTTTCCCCATATCAGAAAGATGATTTGAATGTACCGGGCATCTTTCAATGTGCAGCGGCCATGCCTGGCTTCCAACTGGCTCACGAGATCCTAAACCCTGGCCGGCATGGCCGGGCTGTGTCGCAACATGTTCAATCCACCGGCGCCTCGACGGTTTTGATTGGAAAACCGATTGGGACATACAAGGGGTGGTTGTCATGTCGTGAGGGTGTCTCTCACGTTCACACACCACAGCTCAAATTGTGGTGCCAAGCTTCCACGAAGGCACCAGACACGCCGCTACAAGCAGCTCCGTTCGAACTTTGTTGGAAGATCGTTGCTTCCAACCTCTACTGCCAGATTGTGGCAAAGATCAGGGCAATGGCCGGTAGTCCTTCTGTCGAGTGATGGTCCTTCTCTTAGGCTTCACAGCAACGAAGCATTGGTTGTTCCGACAAGTGGGGAGGACACTATTGGATCTTTGCCTTAGACTCGTAGACTTTAGCTACACTCTTTCTATAGACCTCGCAATTTCGAGAGTTCGAGAGAATTCCTTTTTTTGCGACTTCATTCTAGGAAGTTTGTTGGGCCCATGTGGAAAACGGACCCGTGAAGTGGCACGAAGTCGGCAGCCGACGGTCCGTCCCGCGCAACGGGTCACTCGGCACGGAAATCTTTTGATCATGGTCTGCAGTCTACGACCGCCCAAAATACCTACAGTGGGGCAGTGTCGCATAGGTAGAGATACTGAGATACGTCGTAGATAAGTAGGTTTGCTCCACCATTAGATGCCCCAGCAGTCGGAATCCTGCGCTGCGCTGCGCAGCGGATGGGGGCAGCCTGACCCAAGCTCATTGCACGCATCCAATTTATACAAGTTCATTTCCGTACTTGGGCCCCACTTACAGTAGTGGTGCCCCCAGATCAAATTGCTTTCTGCCAGTGACTCCCAACTGACAAGCATGGCGCTGAACTCTGAAACATGAATCTCCGGACAGTGCAAACATTTTGCACGTCTGTGGATTTCCTAAAGGGTTGGTTTCACTGCCTGTGCACCAGCACTGCGAGGTTCCACCAGGCCGTTGAGGTTCTTCTGTGATGGTTGTTTCCATGGGACGCCACCACTGAGCAAGCGTGTGCTGCAAAGTTTTCTCAGACGTGCCACTTTGTCCCCTACCCCATGGCTTTTGTTTCCCTTATGTACAATAAACAATACTGCGTGCACGATCGACACAAGATTTAGAGATGAGCGCAGCATGAAGCGGATGAAGACAATGAAAGAAGTATCTATAATCACATATAATCACTCTATTATTGGACCACTGTTAAAATTCTTTAGTTATGTCTTACTTGCAACTTGCAAGCATCGTTTGATGTATTTTTCGACATTTTTCAGTGGTCCAGATGACACCCAATGATGCTTGCACATGAATGTAATTTGGACACCCTGAAGAATGTACAATTTCAAGGGGGTCGAAAAATAGAATGAATAGTATACGCAATGAACTTTACAATGTGCGTGACCGACACACAACTTAGAGATGAACGCGGCATGAAGTGGATGAATATTATATAGAGAAGTGTCTATAATCACGCTATTTGCAAACTGTTTGCAAGCACTGGTGAGTATAATTTTCGAACCGTTGAAATTGTACATGTTCAGGAGGTCCAAATTATTTTAACTTGCAAGTATTTTGTACAATCATGAAACATGTATTAAGACATAGGCTGTTGATAAACACTTATGATTCCTTGACATGAACCTAGTGATGCAAATGATGACGAAAAATACAGCCAGACATACCTGATATATAAAAACTATGTGTGTTATTTCATGTTTTCTGCTCCCACTCCTCTCCCAGACGCATCTGATGCAAAATACGCATGTTCGTCCCCAGCTGGCAACACAAAACGGAAACGGGAAAACATGTGCCAACTGTGCAGCGTCAGGACTTTCAGTGCAGTGCCGAATGCACAAAAGGTTACTACGAAATCAAAGGGGACGCTTGGGACAATGGACTCGGTGGCTTTGACTAGCACAGGGCCACATTGCTTGCTTGACGTTGCTTGGCATTTGGCCAACAACTTGAAAGAGGAGTGATCCAAGGCGGCTGGTGCAAATCTTGCCACGAAAATTGCAGTGCCTGCAACAGCTGGGAAGAATGCGGCTCGCCTTCTACATTGCACCAATTTGAAACAAACGAATTTGGAGTTGGAATTGGAATTGTCAGGTACAGAGTGCACTCTTTACAACTTCAGAACACCTGATGCAACTTGCACGGACTCATGCCCCGACACATACTACAAGAGCCTTGGCTTTCTTGATCACCATGAGAACCTCGACGTCTTTGGGATTGGAGGATAGCCAAATCGCTTGAGGAATGGTACGGAGAAGACTGGAGGTGAATGTTTGCCATGTGCAGACAATTGCTTCGAGCTTCTTGATTGCAATTGAAACATTCTCGTGGCATGATTGGGAGAACGAAGTACTGCAATCCTGCTGTTCTCAATCCCGATTCCCTATAGATTCCTATGTTATGAATTTTGACAAAGAAATCCACTTAAAGATCGTTACATAGTGGCAATACCAGTGTGAAACGAACGAGGTGCGTGAGTGCTACCACCTGCGTTGACACAAGCTTAGTTGTTTTGACGCGTCGAATAGTAATGCTCACTGGTGGAGTGACAACATCTTGCTGTTTGCGAGTTTGCTGTTTCTCTTGGCTGCTGAGAATTGCAACAATTCCCACTTCCTCTCACAAAGCGGTGAGTGTGTTGAGCATTGCCCCGATGGGGAATACGAAGTGGGAGAAGAAGAATTTGGACGCGAATGCAAAAAATGTCCCAATGACTTCAACAAGTGCCTCACAGCCACCTACGCCTCAGAATGCACGAACAATTTGATGCTCAGCTTCGATTTTGCGATTACAGAGTCTTGTAATGTCTTGTATATAAGTCTTGTGACATGTTGAGAACCGCAATGGTTCGGATAGTTCTGCAGCTCAAGGTATCTCACGGCAGAAGCACAATGTGAGCCATTCTGTCCAGACGGTTGCTCCCCCAGCATGAAACCATGTGTTTTGTTCATTGGCTCTTGCCCTTGCTTCTAGTCTTTGGCTCATGGTATACTGGTGTGAGGATTTTATCGAGCCCCCCTTCACGGCAAACTGATTGGACGTGAATGCCCGCGCTGTCCAGAAGACTGCAACAAGTGTCAGGCTGGCTGGCAGTGCTTCATGTCTTTCTCTGAGTGAAAAGGGCTTGGTTCCATGGTTGTCCTCTTTTTTTAACCTTTGCTATATTTGCCACTGTCAAAGGCACCTCTCGCAGACAAACGTTCCGCTTGGCAGGATGCCGGAGCCTGTTCAGAGTGCAAGAACTCCATGTACCTAAGTCCCGACCTTTGGTGTGAGCCGGAGTGTCCCACTGGCTACTACAAGGCACAGCCGGAAAAAATCAGTAGCTATTGGTGTTGCTGTGCAATCCGCTTCTCCCTTCTTGAACAGGGAAAAGACATGTAAGGACTGAGACACTTGCGCGTTGCGTTTCTTGCATGCTTCTGATGATGTTTGTTTGGAAGGCTTTGCAGCTGCACTCCGTTTTTGACCATTTTCCCTTGTGCTTGTAAGTTCAAAAAGTTTTTCCCAGCCTTCCAAAGGTTGGCATCTCATTACAGGTTGGCAACGGAGAGATCGGAAACATGTGCCAGAAGTGTCCTGTCAGCTGCCGAGCCTGCGTGGACGCAGAGACGCGCCATGCCCAGTTTCATGTGTTCATTGAGTGCCACGCATCGTCGGCATCGTATTGTTCCGTTGGTCAATTTACAGGTGCACGCCACAAAGGTTGTGTTCTGTGTCAGGTGCACAGAATGCATGGACTTCAAGTATTTGTCACCAAGCAGGACACTGATCAGCAATTAGGAATCTAAGACTCTCAGTTCTTTGGACTCTCAATTCACGCAATAGACAATCGGGTTCAATTCAATTCCCATACGTTTTGGCTGCAAAGATTTCGTTGTACGTGAAGGCAATGTGTCGAGACGTGTCCGGAGAACACTTTCCCACAGGGAGCACCTGGCTCAGAATAGTGTGCTTTCTCGCAAGTTGCGTGGAGGCCTAGGAGGCTAGGCCCAGGGTTTGTCCCAGGTTGCATATTCTGTGTTTGCCTACAAGGATGATGAAGCAGGGCGTGTTTGTGCCTATTGCGAAAAAAATTGCCACACCTGTTCAACAGCTACACGATGCCTTGAGTGCATCTTGGCGCTGGATTTGGCAGCACGCCAGAAGAATCCTGTGTTTTGTTTGGTATTCGTATTTTTCCACCTGCCAGGGAGGGTCTTTTGGATTTTATGAAAGGTGCAACTCCTCTCCTCTCCACTCCGCTCCCCTCCTCTTTCCTTCCCTTTCCTCTCCAGCAAGCTCTATGGCAGTATGTTCACGCACAGACCCCATCATGATATGGAGCTCAAGCGCAGTCTGGGCACCCGTGAACACTATGGGGAGCTGCAGCCCTTTATGAGTGCAGCGGGCCTGAGCACATGCCATCCAAAATTGGATGTCAGACTTCATGCTACAAGATATGCCAGAAGGAATTTCCAGAAAGGATTGCAGAAAGTATGCCAGTCAGATCCAGTTTCATAAGATTTGCAAGATAGAATGCAGAAAGGATGTCAAAGATATGCCAGGTAAAATGCCAGGAGCTATGCCAGAAAGAATGCCAGAGAGGATGTCAGAAGGTAGGCCGGCCGAAATGCCAGAAGATATCCCGGAAGATATGCTGGGTAGAATGCCAGAAGATGTGCGAGATAGAACGCCAGAAAGGAAGTTAGAAGATATGGCAGGTAGAAGGTAGAATGCCAGAAGGGTTGACAAAAGGCGATCAAAAGATCTGCCACTCAGATTGTCACCAGGCAGGCCAGACAGAATCCCAGAAGGTAGACCAGATAGAGTGCCGGAAAGGACGTCAGAAGATGTGCGCATAGGATGCTGGACAGCATTTGCTGTAAAAAAATCCAGGCCACGTGCCACAAAAATTCAACTGATGTTTTTTTGGATCCCTCTTAAGCACGCCCAGAGCGACAAAATTTCTCAAGCAGCATGTTTGCATAGGATGCTGGACAGCATCCTAAGTTGGATGAGTATGTTTCTTAAAGCGCTTCTAAGGATGCAGGCCTCAAGCGTCTCTGGAAAGTGAAAAAATCCAGAACAGAGTCCCTGGATGTTAAAGCTCTACCAGCGTTTTGGGATAGTGTCCCTTTTTTGGTGACCTCGTGCCACTAGAATAGCCTACCCCTCAAAATTTTGGCATCAATTGAAGGCTAACCTATCGGTTTGATTTATGCAGCGAAGCTGCCAGAAGATGTGCCAGTTAGAATGCCAGAAGATCTGCCATGTAGAATGCCGGAAAGGATGCCAGAAGATATGCTAGGCAGAATGCCAGAAGATATGCCAGAAAGGGCGCCAGAAGAGTGTCAATACACATGCCCTGCCTTCTTCCAAATCGCTCTCAAAGTGGGGGTCACTTGGAGTAAGATCATGTTAAACACACGCCATACAGTCCACAGGCGGTGCACAGGTAGACTGGCGTCATGTCACGGTGTAGCTGGAGTCGACAAGTGCGCGGCTGTTACCACTTAGGACAAGTTAAGATTCCACAAAAGGTCTAGGAACCAATAAATAGTGCGAGGATTTCTTCAAACAAGCTCCACCCGGCCCTCAGGCTTCCTAAGCCCACTCAGCCTCCTCACGGCCTACCCCGCCCCGTGGGCCAGATATATAGATGGATGGATGGATAGATAGATACTGTAGATAGTTACATAGTATACCCACTTAAAAATGAATTGTATGTACTCAATGTTTCTTTCCACCTTCCCCTCCGCAGTTTTTGCCCAGCTCCCTTGAGCGTCGAGGCTGCTCGAGTGAAGTTGCGATCAGGTTCTGCTGGTTTGATTCGTTCCCAGGTAACAATTCCCTGCACTTGGACGAGATGTTCAATTGTACCAGCCTTGGGGTGACCACGTAGTGTTCTCGGTGGCAGCTAGCGCATTGTGAAGCTATCAAGTTCGCTTGCGCAACATTCACGCTGCGAGGTGTTGATGCTTGCCCGAGCGGCTACTATCCGGAGGCGCACGCTGTACATGCTTATCCTGAAGCTCGGAAAGCTCTTTTTGGCACGCAGGGCAGCAAGGATCGTGGGAGAAGCTGCCTGAGTTGCCCCACATATTGCAGTATTTGCGCAGGCCTGAAGGGCTTGATTTGACCTCACGCGACCGTCCGACTATACTCATATTCTCGCCGTTTTGCTTGGGAAAGGGCTGAGTGTGGCCTGAAGACGCAAAAAGGGCACCAAGGTTATGGACATTTGCAAACGCAGAGACATCCTGAACTATTTGTTGAAATTCACCTCATCCCCATGGACCCCGTAGCGTGGACTCTCAAGGTAGAGTAAAAGAGACGCTTAGCGGTTCTACAGGGTTAGCTAGGATAGCAGGAAATCTGGGCTGATCCTGTAAAATACAGGTTATCAGCCGTAGGCTAACTAGAGTAGAGCTATGGACCCAATGGACGACGACGTCGCGCCGAACGCCTACGGAAGTGGTTTTGACATTGTTCCAAGTTTACCCAGCAGTATGGATGCAGTTCAGAGGCATGAACAGGCAGTTGCTCAGGTGGCAGCAATGGATCCACGGGTAGCTTCGGAGGTGCACCAACAAATGCTAGACAGTGGCGGCAGTGTTTCTCTTCAAGAAGCTACTCAAGCTACCCTAGCAGGTGTGCCGTCAGCCACCGTAACGGGTGCGCCAACTGTAAACAACATGTTGGCAATGACCCGGTCCAACGTCGTCAATGTTAACACAACAACAGTCGATGAAGAACTACGACGTGAACTACAGCAACATGAGTTTCAACTCAGTGAGCAAGCAAGGATGGAAGCAGAACTCGAAGCATTGCGTTTTAGACAGCTATACAAAATGTTCAGCAAAGGGCTCAACAACAAGACAACGTTGCGATCAAACGGTTGCAAGGTACATTGGAAGAGCAGCGGAAGCGTTTCCAACAACGGTTAGCTCAGGCAACTATGGCTCACGACAAGGCTGTACAAGAGAGGGATGCCTTGGCAAGTTGCAATGAAGGCAACGCATATGTAGAAAAGTTGAAGTCAGAACATCGCCAGTACGTTGAGGAGAATGAAACTAGATTTAAGGCAGCGGCAGAGGCAATGGAGCAAGCCAGATCTACAGCAGCCGAAGACGCCAGTAAAGTTATAGATCTAGAATTCAAGCGCGAAGAACTGACAAATTCATTGGCAATTGCACAAACCAAGATCAGGTCGCTTTTGAGCGAGATGGAAGCAGCCAAGAAACAGAACGATTTTGACAGTGAGTATCAGGAGCAAAAAATTGGTGAACTCAGGAAGGACAGTGCAATGTTGAAAGGTGAGATGGATGAGCTCAGACAGGTTGCGCACGCGTTATCCACAAACAAGGAGGCAGAGCGCAAGGAGGCAGAGCGCAAAGAGGCCGAACGCAAAGCGCAAGTCGAAAGCCCCGTTAAACCAGGGCCGCATCATCCTGAACCACCTCCGCCTGATGCTCGCACTGATACTTTTCCTATTGGTCAACCTCGTTCACTTGGACCTCTACGCACGGAAGGCTCAATTCCGGCAACCGTAGATGGTTCGCCCCCAGATGTTGGCGGAATTCCCGTGAAGACTGCAATGGATGCAAATGCAACCAAACGCAACACTGGATTTTTCAATGTTATCTGGAACAGGGGCGGCTGCAACAGAGCAAGCTACAGCTTCAACGCATTAAGAAGTTTGGTACGCCGGATCCTTGGGCAGACTATCGGAAGAAGTCGGAACAGCACAAATTCAGCAATGACCCTTTGTTCAAAGGCTCCTTTAACCCGGATGCCAAACAAAACAAAGATGGCCGCAAAGATGAAGGGCCGGCGTCTCAGGTACGTACTCCCCAAGAACAAGACCTAGGTGAAATTATTAAGAAAGCCTTGCTAGAGGGGTTTAAAGGCGCCAAAAGCAAAGACCATGACAAACCCAAGGCAAAGGAGGCAGATAAAATAGACCTTCCTGAATTCCCCAGTCCTGACAGGTACCGCACTTGGACGGCCGCAGTTCGCGAAACGATTCAGTCCGCGTCCGATGACCCAGACGCCGCGTTCGCGTGGGTGCTTGAGGCTTACGCCGTTCGCGAAGACAAGGCAAAGCTTTGTTCAGAGTTGGCAGACCCAGGCAAGTTTCGGACCTTAGATACAAAACTCCTTGCTGCTTTGACAAAGATCGCTAAGGGCGAGCTGTCTCAGCAGATCCTTAATTACAAGGAATCTGAGGCACGCAGCAAGGTAGGATTGCTCGTGGTCGTCAGGTTTTGCTCATGTTTGAAGTCCAATTCAAAACTAGCGAAGAAGCGGGCGCACTGTATGGTACTGAAGACCTCCTCAAGATCTCGCTTGACAGCGACGACTTAAAATCCTTTCTTAGGAAATGGGAAAGTGTTTTGACTGGAATGGGCCTTGACTTGTGCTGCACAAAGTGCAGAACGGTCACCGGCGAACAGGTGCCCTTGTGCTCGCGTAACTGCGATGCCAAGTACTGTAGGCATGGAGAAGTACTGGTACTGACCAGGACATCGTAGGTAAAGATTCCAAGACTGTGAACCGAGCCACTAAAATCTTCAAGTCTAATGAACCCATTTCCCTCACTACTGCTAATGGTCCCATCACTGCTGAAGATGTAGTTGAGGTGATTCTTCCAGGGTTGTGTGAATCCTTTAGTCCCTACATTCTTCAGAGTGCTCCCTCAGCGCTCCCAATAGGACTGAGATGCTTGGAACAAGGTATGATTTTGATTGGGGAAAGGATACCATTCCCATTTTCTTACGACCAGATGGACAATGTGTTAAATTTAATTGCACCCCGTTTCCCATTCCGGAATCGCTGAGGAACCGTCTTACTAAGGTACTTGACTCCATCCACCAGTTCACCATCGACCAAGGCTTTGCTATGGCCAGTCGGGAATCCGAACCTGAAGAGGAAGGAGAGGATGATGATGCTGGCGTAGCTGCCAATGCCGATGAGGAACAGGAGGAGGAAGAAGACAGTGACCCAGAAGAGGGAATTCCGTTTGATTTTGAGGACGTTCCCGTAGCAGGGGGGAAGACCGAAGAGCAGCTTCGTAAAGAAGCAAAATCAGGGGCGCATGAATGTACGCATAGACCAAAGAACCCTTACTGTGATGTTTGTAGTGAAGCCAAGATGCTTGCACCCTACGGTAGAAGCGTAGGCGGATCACAACATGTTTTGGCACGTGGTTTTGGAGATCCCATTGGTTGCGACCATGTCATCCCTAAAGATATTGAAGAGGGGACTGAAGGCCAAACTTCCATGTTAGTGATCAAAGACGTGTACACCCAATACCGATGTGTTTACCCTTCTGAAAACAAGACAGCAGCATTTTCTCATGACTTCTGATCTTGTTGGTATCGTGTACACTGACAATGCTCCGGAAATGTTGGATGCCATTGAAGAGCTTGGATTCAAGCATCAGACTTCTGTTGAGTATCAACATTCCACCAAAGCGGTTGTTGAACGGGAAGACCTGTTGCAGGCCAACATGCCTTTGTCATTGTGGCCCTATGCTTTCAAACACCATGCTATGGCTATTAATGTTGTCAAGCAATTGAACGCAGGAGACCCACCGTGGTCACTGCGCTTTGACAATGTATTTCTTGGTAGACAACTTCCTTTCGGATGTCTTCTTTTCTTTTGGGAGGGAAAGTATGAACCAAAGAGAGGTAAGTTTGCTCCCAATGCCAAGAAAGGTGTTTTCTTAGGATATAACATCCAGGCTGGACGTGTTTGGAGGGGGGAGTATTTGGTGGCGAATGTTGATAGTTTGGATTATTTTCTGAAAGAAGGACATTTGAAGACAATACGAACCAAACCTGTTGCTTTGCCTAATGGTGATTTCATTTTTCCGCTTCACTACAAAGAGAAGCCGGTGCTCGATCTTCAAGACCTAGATTACCAACCTGAAGAGGACGATGAAGATGATCCACCGGATGGCGATGACCAAGATGATGATGACCCAGGACCAGATCAGCCTACCATTCGAGAAGATGAGAAGATGAACCAGCTGAGGTCCCGGATCCACCATCAGGGGCGCCAGAGCTTGAAGCAGAGATGCGTGAAATGAAACCGGAAGAACTAGCCAGCTTAAAAGCTGAGCCGGTGGAAAAGAAAGGCAAAGAAAAGAAAGAAAAGGAACCAACACTGTTTGAACTTTACTACGACCCATC